GCCACTACGTTTTCTTTCCCTGCTACATGCCGTATCTCTGTAGTAAATTGTGCAATATACTCCAAGTGTCTTGCTTGGCGAGGGGAGCTTTTTAGTAGATCTTGTATAAATGCATATACCAGCGGCTTATGGTCCGTGTATAATGTGAACTGGCGGCCCTCCAACATGTGTCGATATTGCTTTATTGTTAAGTATATTGCTAGGAGTTCCCGGTCATACGGGCTGTACTTTTTTTGAGCTTCAGTTAATTTTCTGCTGAAGAATGCCAATGGCTGCCAGTCGTGTCTTAGGTTTTGTTGTATAACCGCCCCAACCGCGGTGTCGGATGCATCTGTTGTGACTGCCAGCTCCGCCTCTGTTTTTGGATGTACTAGCTGTGTTGCTCGAGATAAGCTCTCTTTGCATTTTTCGAAGGCTTGCTCTGCCTCTTCTGTCCATTTTACGGGGGTCTTCCCTTTGCTTCTCGGTCCTTTTAATAAGTCGTTTAATTCTGCTTGTTCGTTCGCCGCTTTGGGAATGAACCTCCTATAAAAGTTCAACATCCCTAAGAACTGGCGTAGTTGTTTGGCTGTCTGTGGCTTTGGAAATTTCTTAATGACTTCTACTTTTTCTGGCAGTGGCTTTGTTCCTTCTCCTGTGACTAGGTATCCCAAGAACTTCACACTTTCTTCTCCGAAGACGCACTTCGCCGGGTTTATTTTTATTCCATAGTTGTCCAATCTTCTAAAGACTTCTCGTAGGTGTTTCTCATGCTCTGCCTCTGTTGTTGATGCCACGAGTATGTCATCGATGTATGCGTAGCAGAATTGCATACCGTGCAATACCTCGTCCATAAATCTCTGGAATGTTTGTGCTGCGTTTCTTAATCCAAACGGCATGAAGGCGAACTCGTATAATCCGAACGGCGTTGTTATCGCTGTCTTCGGAATGTCTTCTGTTTTTACTGGTATTTGATTATATATATGCTCGCACTAGGTCAATAGTTAAGAATATTCTTTTCCCATGTAATGCTTGTGTGAAATCCTCTATGTGGGGTATCGGATACCTATCTGGTACCGTTCTTGCATTTAGTCGTCTGTAGTCCCCACATGGTCTCCATGCCTTGTTCTCCTTAGGTACCATGTGGAGTGGTGCTGACCACGGGCTTCGTGATGGTCTGATAATGCCTTCTTTTAGTAGAAGATTGAATTCCGTTCTTGCAGCGTTCAGTTTTTCTGCCGTTAGTCTCCTTGGCTTTGATGTCTCTGGTTGTCCTGCGGTTACCGTGATATGGTGTTCCGTGCCATGGTTTACTCTTCTTGTCTGGTCCCCTATCCTTGTGAGTTCCGGGAACTCTGCTAGTATTTTATGATAGCGCGTGCTTCCTTCCAGTGTTTTTACTGAAGTTATTTTTGAATGCCTTGTTTGCCCTGCCGTGCTTAGTCCCGTTTTTCCGTCTACCAACCTCTTTTTTCTGACGTCTGGTAGAAGGTGGAAGTGGGCCAGGAAGTCTGCTCCAATTATTGGCTGCGTAATCTCTGCGATGACAAATTGCCATAGAAATGTTCTGCGTAAGCCGAATTCGGGTTGCAGAGTGACGGTTCCATATGTCTTGATCTTCGTCCCGTCCGCCGCGTATAACTCCATGGTGTGTCCTGCTCGGCTTATGCCTCTTGTCATCCTCCGGGGGTATATGCTTACATCGGATCCGGTGTCGACTAGGAATTCTGTTTGCGTTTTCCTGTCTATCATGTAGAGGCGGCGTGGTCCTGGGCCCTCGTCATCTACCGCCATTAATGACTGGCCTCTTCGTTTTTTGTTTTATATGCACAAGGTTGTGCACACCTGCGGGCTTCTTCTCCGAATCTNCGGTGATAGTAGCANATGTCTTTNTCTTCCCCTGCGTNNTTCCTGGCTCTGCTCCGGGAACGGCTCCTTAATCGGGATCTNCCCTGCTTCATGAGTTTGGCCATTTGGTTTGTCAGTGCTGCGACCTGTTTTGTCAAGGCCTCGATCTGATCTGCTGTTGTTCCTTGTGTTGTTACTGCTGCTGCTGCATGCGGTGTGGTCGCCAGTACGACTGCTCTGCTATTGATTTCATGGATACGATCTGCTTGCTCGGCGACACTGCTTAAGTCGTCCTCGGCTTTTGTTGCCAGGATGGCTTGGACCTGTGGCGGAAGGCGCCCGAGCCATAATGTTCGTAGTAACTTGTCCGATACTGTTGTTCCTGCGAGGGTCGTAAGATGTCGTAGAAACTGTGATGGTTTCCTATCTCCTAGTTCCTCTTGCTCCAGTAGTTGCCGCATTCGTTGCTCGTGTGAGTCGGTTAGACGTTGTATTAATGCCTTTTTTAATGTTGTATACTTATTTCCCGGCGGGGGTTGGGTGATCACATCTTTTACCTCTCTTGCCTGCCGTGGTTCTAGCTTCGCCAGTACATATGCGTATTTTGCGTCGTCACCTTTCACCTCGCAGACGGCGAACTGGCTTTCCAATTGTGCGAACCATAGTTCTGGGTCTTCTGGGCAGAATGCTGGTATTCGCATTACAGCCCTGCTGCTTGTTGCCTCCTCGTCGGTTACGAAGATGGTGGTATCCAGATTCTTCGCCATGTTCCTTCGTCGGGGTCACCAATGTGGCGGATTATGTTTTTGTTGCATTATGTCATTTTCAGATGTGTTTGTTGCATCATGTCTTTAAATATTTTCTTGCATTATATTATTTTTTTATAATTAGGAGAACTACAATTTTCTAATTATTAGAAAATTTGAACTTACAAAACGTTTATTGTATTTAAAATATAAAAATATTTTATTTTATACTGTTTATGTTTTTATGTTAATTATTTCACATGTTAATTATTAAATAATATATTTAAAGTCGTTTTAAACCAAAGAAATGAAAAAAATGTTGAATGTTTCTGTAGAAGCAAATAAAGTGAATAAATGATTATCAGATTTTTTATTTTGTTTCTATTTAATGATTATAATTTCTTTAATATTACAAGATAATTAGTAATTAAGCATTTTACAAGATAATTATTAATTAAGCAAATGTATGTACAAAAAAATTGATCAAAACAGAAGTGACAGAAAAAAACTTTGACAGCAGTATTTTGTTTTGATATAAACAATGTATAACAATAGTAGCAAAGAAAATATTGTAAACAATATTTTATTGAATCTAATATTTAGATAATATAATTATGGATTTTACCACACAATCTTTCCTATGCAAATTATAAGTAAATATTATTAAATTGCCATGGTATAACTCCTTCAGTATTAAAATAGTTACAAAAGTTTTCACGAATTTTGATTGTGTTTCGCGTAATATTATTACTACCACGTATAGTAATTTCTCTTAACGCACTGTCTTCAATGTCTTGTCTCCAAGATCCTGGAACAAACTCATCAAATCTATCGTGATCGACTAGTATTTCATTAACATATTGATTTATACCGATATCTTGCTTACGAAGCCAATTGTGCAGACATACAATAGCTTGTACAATTTTCATAGATTTTTCTACACTGCAAATAATTGGTCGTTTCAAAATTTTCCATCAGCTAACTAAAATGCCAAAAGAATTTTCAATCGTTTTCCTGGCTTTACTAAGACGATAATTGAAAATAGTTCGTTCTTGACTTAAGTTTTTTCCAGGATATGGTCAAAGTAAATATTCTGTTAATTGAAATGCGTCGTCTCCTACAAGCACGTAAGGCAATGTTAATCCATCTACTGTTAAAGATTCTGGTTTTGGCAAATTCATTTCATGATTGTTGAATTTGTAACCTATTATGGAATCTCTGAAAGTTCCACCGTCACTGGGTCGACCGTAACCTCCGATATCGACAAAAGTTATAATATAATCTGCATCGCAAATTGCAAGCAATACAATGCTATGGCTATTTTTATAATTGAAATATGCAGAACCTGCATTATCTGGACACTGAAAGAGTTTTTAAAACTTTCTACTTTATTCTTACATTATATGCATATACATATATAGGTTTTGCAAATATATAATATACCTGAATAAGAACGTGTTTACCGTTAATTGATCCTATACAATGATTAAAATTCTATTTTGTCTCAAAGTCTCTAGCAATATTTAGCCAATCGTCCTTATTGAAACAAGAAGGAAGTACTTTTTTGTGCAAACACTACCAAATAGTATTACATGTTTCTTCAATAATGTTACTCACAGTTGTTAATCCAACAAGATATTGGTATGAAATAAATGTGATCGAATCACCGGAAGCTAGGAACCTAATTAATATTAAAAAATTTGAATTTCTTATTTATAAAACAAAACGTATGTATAGATAAATAAATATATAATTATAGAACAAACTCAAATATATATGAAATCTACAAATTTACCTTATTGTCAGGCATAATCGTTCTGCTGCAGATATAGGCTCTCGAATTCCTGTCTGCTTCGTAATAAATGATGCTACTAACTTGAACAACTCTTCAAATTGTGTAGAAGTCATACGGAAATAATTCCTGAATCGTGCTTCTTCCAAAATAATAACAGGAAAAATTGCGTGGTAAAATCCATTTTTATATCGGTTTATGAATATTGGATTTATCCAATAACGTTTGCTACGATAATTCCTTTTTTTTTTTGTTGTAATTCGTTTATCAAAACTGCTGCCAACAGTTTTTTATGTCGCTGATTTTGTTCCGCTAATTTTTCGGTACACTCGCTTAACCACATATAATATTTATTTCGAATAGACATTTTTGACACGATTAACGCTAAATTTGACGTTACATTCTTTTCATGGATTTATTATACTCCAGCGTCAACTTTGATCATGTGACCTATTTTGACGCTAAAATGAACGTCAAGCGTCAGCATGAACGGCGCCTTTAACCGGAACTTATTGTACATGACTGTTATGTGTTTTACGGTTCCGAATAACGGGTATTTGATTTTGACCAATCAGATTATTTGTAACTAANAAGACAATCAATCAGATTTCACTGTAGTGTAAAACGGCTTAATACTACTTCTACCTTATCCAGAGCTATTCTACGTGTTAAAAGTGATTACAAAACGTGATTTGCGCAAAGGTACGTAATAATAGCAATGCAAAACTAGTAATTATAAATCTGGATTATACAGACTTTTAACTAAAATGTATATTCGTAGTTTAACGTCATTGCGAACGAAAAGGAGGACGGGAAAAATTTCAGGACGTGACAGTAGTAGCATCAGTAGTGACAATAGTGTCAATTGACAGAGAATCCCATGTCAATTGTCGTTCGGTTCGTTCTTTTGTCGGAGTAAAAGTCGCTATTGCAGTGTTATATCGTTTGCGCTTTGAATTGTGTAAAGTAAGATACAGTGTTTCGTTCGATATCTGTGTTTGTTTCCGTTTTGTGTCGTGTGACGTGTCTTTGAGAAAAGATGTGTCCAACGTATTGTGCTTAGTTTCAATATTTTTAGCAGTTTTAGAGGCTCGATAATAGGTTTGAATTGTTTTTCCAATATAATTTTTTCTTCTAATTTACCGATTTTCAAAGCGCAATCTTCTACGCTACTTTCTTGCAATCTATAATTTCACAGTTTTCGTCAGGTGCAGCCATGTTGTTTGCATTGTAGAAGAGACGATACTTAGTTGATGTCTCAACAACGATTACCTACTCGACGGTATTGCGAATTCGTTAAATCCTTTTCTATAGCGACCTCTGTCCAAAAGACTATTCTTGTCGATCACTAAAATTCCATACTTGTGTTGCCAACATTCGCGACATAATGTACAAAATTTTTTGTACGACATATCCGTGTTTACATGATTGTTGTACACATGTTTGAGATTAATATTATCTTTTTTAAAAAGAATTATTAGAGGTGCGTTATCACGTATAAGATATTTTGGTATTCTTGAGTACGTCTGACAAAGATAAAAACAGTCGACACTGAAGTGTGTCACGTCACGACAATTTTTCCCTCCCACTCGTTTGCAACGACGTTAAACTACGACAAAAAATTCTCTTAGTAATACGTCAATATAATGTTAAATAACTGTAAAATATCCTTAGTGATCTTTTTATGTGTAATCACGTCGTAGGTGATATTCGCAACATTCTGGACACTATTTTCTTAAAAAGATTTCTGATTGGCCGTGTNTCTAGTAACTCGCGTTCTGATTGGTCAAAAATGTTATTGGTCAATTTGGTAGCCTAGACCGTCAATGTTAACTCTTCGTGGTTCTCGTTTCAAAATTCGCTTCCTAAGTCAGTAAAGTAACGACAAACAGTTCTGATTGGTTGAACAGAAAACTAGGAAAAGTGACTAGAAGTCTCGCCGTACTTGTTAGTCCGGCCTTAAGCAGGGGACCTATGCTTAAAGAATCGCTCAAAGATCGGTCTTTTGAATAGAAACTTTTTGATTGTTCGATAAATTCCCTAAAGGGATCTGATTTGCTGAAACGGGTTTCGTTAAGCAAAGGCTGCCGAAAGTTAGATGGTAAACTGAGAGCACTGCCACTCGCCACCAGTACCACTATTTTGTTCAGACAAAATGGCTGCCGGAATCGGTAAATTACTACCGTCAAAAAGTTGGTGTTTCAAACAAATTGTCGGTAACCAAGAGTTACCATCGTAAAGAGTAAGCTTTAATTGGTGAGATACCATTCTTAAATCCGAACCACCTAGCATCACCGTAGTTGTAAAATTAATAAGTTAATAACTAAAAAAGATAGAGCAAAACCGTTTGCACCACGAGAATTAGCATTCCAAACTGCAAAATACCAGTCAGGTTAGAAATTCCGAAAATTGTTATTTAACAATCCATTGTTTAAATAATAAAAATTAGTAACTTTTAAATTTGCAGTATTTTGCAACTAAGTGCTAGAAGCACAAATCAAAAAACTATTTCTTCGTAACTCTCACGGTTTTTGAGATATTTTAATTGTTTGCTTTCACTAATTGTCGTTAGTTACATGGCACCAAAGTAAAGGTACCTGTAAAACTGGTTTCCCGCTATTTTCTTCTTCTTCTTCGCTATTATAGCTCTTGCCCCAATGTGAGAGGAGCCAGCCTTTGATTGGTAGAGTATAGTTTGTTTCAGACTGTGCTGAATGTACTAGGTTTCAGACACTAGTTAGGAGGGCGTGGGAGGAGGAGCAGATTGGGAGAGGATAGGATAGAAGGAGGATAGGTGAGACTAAGGGGGAACGATAGTGTACTTTGTGACGTGACGTCCTTTTGGCGCCAGTCACTTGTGCAATTTATTTATAATTTTGATAGAGAGTCGGGAAGTCGTGTCCTCTCGGGATGCATTCTGTAAAGAGAGAGCGATTTCTGTCTTTATTCGTTAGATTTCTGTATATTTTGTAGGTGTTGTTATTTCGCGTTTGATCGGACGTAAAGCCCGATCGTTATCCGGTTGCACTCTCAGGACGCTGAGAAGTGTTTGTTTAGCGTTGTAATTGCATTTCCGGGACGCCGAGAAACGCCTGTTTTGTGTTTGCGATCGTGTTCTCGGAACGCCGAGATGCGTATTCTTTTGTCTAGAGTTTGACGGTGACCAAATCTTGGAAGCAGTTCGGCATCACCACTCGAGGATTGAGAGCGAGAGAGACAGGAAGAGCCC